CGGTCGTTGCTCCCTTGTGTCCAGCTACGTGGGGGCACGGGCATCACAGGATGGACGCGGGCGTTTAAAAAAGGGGAGGGAGTTGGCGCCCAAAAAATAGCGAGGGCTGCGTCGGGAGATGGAGAATGTCCCCATCCGGATGTCCAACCTGGCCCTGGGTGCGTGGTGGGGCTCAGCGGGGGTCCTGGGGTGCTTCGGGTGGGACCCAGCTCCAGCCCTGCTCATGGGCAGACTTAAAGTGATGCAAGCCCCCATTGCTGCTTCCCGGCTCGAAAAACCAAGGTGAAATGGCCCAAGATGCCCCAAAACGGAGGCTGACTGGCACGCCGGTCTAAGGGTCTTGTCGGGTGGGAAGACCCCGCACAAATGCTTGTGGTGCCGCCAACCTCAAGGTTTTGGGGCTCTTCTCATGCCTCCAACAGCCTCATCACGGCAAAATTATCCCGGCCTCTGCCGAGCGCCGCCAACCGTGAGCCGGAGGTGGTTTGGCAGCTGCCGGTAAGTTTTCGGAGCCAGGCAGAGTCCACGCTGCTGCTGGGAGGTCAGCAAGCGATTGCCGGGAGAGACGCTCCCCGCAATGAGGCTGGTTTTTGGGGTGCCCTTGACGTGGAGCATCCCTCCAGAGCAGCGGCACGTCCTGCTTGCGTGCCGGCGAGCGCCGAGCAGAGTGCTGCCGGCACGCTTGAAGGATGGTGGCTCAGGAGAAGAAACCCCACGTTGCTGCTCGCCCCGGTGCCGGTGATCGCGGCACGCCGGCTCTGCAGCACGGGGGCTCGTTAGGGGAGGAGTGAGCGCCGTGGTGGCTCAGGCAGCTGCTCCGTTCTGCCCGACTGAGCTTTGAGCCGGCGAGGAGGAAGGAGCCGGTGCCGGGGATTTCCCATCTCCGGTTGTGGTACCCGAACCATCACCCTGTTTTTGGCTGCAGGCACCGTGAGTGATGGGGGCTGGGCGCCGCATCCCACGGGGACCCTTCTCGCGACTTTTTGGTGGCCTCATCTCCCCTCCTTGCTCTTTGGGGGGATGTTTCGGGCTGCTCACCGGGATTTTTTTGGGGTGCTGCGCCGCGCAGGGGCTCTTTTAGAAGCAGTTTGTGTAATTTGTTGTTGCGGGCAGCAGCAACAGGGCTTGGAGATGCTCCAGCCTTCGCCCCCTTCCTATTTTGGGACTCATCCCCTGCGGTAAAGCGGGGTGTGCCGCTTCCCCGTGGGATCCGGCGAGGCAGGATCCGAATCGCCGAGCCTTTATCTTCAAGCTGTGGTTCCCTCCTTGTTTCCCGAATCGCCGGCACCCTTATGCACCCGCTC